CCCCCCCCCCCCCCCCTTTCTGGCAAGGAAGGAGGATTCTGCACAAGGTCTTTGAGGTCTCCAGCTAGCCAGGCTTCCCTGCACAGTGGGTCCCCATAGTCTGCAGGTGGAATGGTGGACTCTTAGTTGTGGCAGGCAGGCATGTGTCCCAGATTTGCTTCTGCCACAGGTTGCAGAGAGCAAGAGTGCTGGAAGCCCGGCTCTGCACCATGCAGATTTCTTCTTCCCTGCCCTGGCCCCTCTTCTCCTGCCTCCCCTGATAGCCAAAAGCTGGCTAACCCTCTACCTGCCCCTGCTTCCCATCCTCAACCTTGTCCTAGCCCCTGTTTTCCCCACCACTTACCCCCACCTCTGTTTTCCCCATTGCATGCCTCCCTGATGCTGTTTTACTGCCACAGCAGCAGAAGCGAAAAATTTAAGATAACCCTGAAAAAATTACATTCTAGACATTCTAGACAAAATTACAACGAATTATCTAGAATCTAATTATTGGGAGATGTCTTAAATTCAAACTCGTATTGGATTTGGGTAAATACAGTATATTTTACAGTTATATTTCTTAAGCATAACTAAAACAAAATTTACAGACATACCTAAGCATGGCAGCTCTTAACATGTGCAAGAGCTTAACTACTCCAGATTTCTCAAAAACACCGGAAGGACCATCTATCAACAGTGAACAAAACTAGACCAAATACAGGGCCTCAGCTGCTTATGAAATAATAACATATTCCCACCTTTATCTTTGCTATCCACACAAAATGTTAGTTTGGATTTTTAAAAAAAACCTCAAGGAAACATAGGAGGGGAAGCTATATTTCACACACCAGAAATTCTTTCCCTTGTTATTCTTTATGTATCAACCGTATAGCTAATTATTTGAATCATGATGGGATTTTCAAGATTTTAAACTAAACTGGGACTGTGCAAAGTATAAACACAAAAAGAGAGACCATCTTCCTTAAAGAGCTCACAATTTAAAGAGATACCAGGAAAGAAGTGCTATTCAAGAGATGGCTGATGCTGCATACTTACCTTTTGTTTTCATGGCTACATACTCATTAAGAATGGTTGTCAAGTTTTTTCCAAACAAAGACTGAAAAAACAAGAGAGATCAGTGTTAGAATCTTTGGCAGTAAACTACCTGTCACAATTCTGTTACATTACTTTAACACAGAGGTATAAAAAATGCTTGAATTAGTTGTCCAGATCTGGACTGCAGGGCTTCTTGCAGACCCACCTATTGATCTGGCCTTCAAGGCAGCTGCTAGAGCTACTGTGCTAACAAATAAAGGGTTAATGCTGCTGTGGTTGGCTACCCTGCTGCTGACTCGCATGCTGAGCAGGAATCGTAAACTTGAAATTCTGAGATTAAGAAGGGAATAGCACTAACTCCCGAGTGTTAGCCATGTTGGCACAGCAGCTCTGGGAGGCAAGACAAGAAGCCTTGCTGTTGAATTTGGTTGCTGAAGTCTAGCTACAATGGACAAACAAGAAGAAAGGAAGCACAATGTGTTGCTAAGCAAACAAATTTCAGGAAGCCTGGTGACTGAAGTGGGATTTTTAACAACTGCATCATATACATGAAAATCTTACCTTACACTGTACCATGCTTTAGATGACAAAGAGTTATTTTGAGCTACTTGTCATATTTGACACTGAAACGTACCTACGGTCCTGTATGCTTTTAAAAAACACTTTACTGAATTATAAAGAATGTGAGTTGCACTGAGATTTGATCTTCTGGCATGTTCTGATATTACTTATACTTTGAAACAGGAAAAAATAAAAATGAAAACGATAAAAGTAATTTGCTTTTAATAGGGGTTTCCAAACTTTAATAACTCAGTCTTTTACTTTTCCTTACATTCTTGCAGACTACAGCTGAATTCAGATCTTAAGTTGAGGGGGCCACAGGCAGTTCAATTTAATAACTGATTAAATCTCTGTAAAAAGATATAATTTTAAGCTTTGTTTTGAATTGGTGGGTCAGAACAAGATCAGAAATACAAGATTTCCATCAACCTAGAATAGGGGTTGGCAACTTTTAAGAACAGCAGGCAACACGTTGATTTGTATGCTGCTGCAGCCTACCAATCCCCTCTGAAGGACCCCCTTCTGCAGTTCACCAGCCCTTTCTGCTCTGTACTGAGGGCTTTCCTATTCCTGCAGTTTCCACTTACTCTTGCCACCAAGGGATGCTGATTTCCATTGCTAGTGGTGATAGAAAGCATGAAATTTGGCAGCAAGAGTAAGCAGAAGCTGCAGTAGCGAGGTGACAGAGCAGGGACAGGTACCTAGTGGATGTTGTGGACGGGATCAGTGGCATATGGAAGAGGAATGCGTGGTGCAGGGTAGAGAAGCTGCCCTATGTTGCTTATCCAGGGTAGAATATTGTGGATAACGTCCCAGCATTTATAGTCTGCAATGGCATGTTAGAAAAATTAAATGCAAGTTGGAAGAAAGTGAATATATGACTACTGAAATCAATATCTATGTACAGCAACATCCAAAGCTGTAGCTTAGAATGCTAGAATCAAACCTCAATTCACTTTCATGACAAAAAGAGGTCACTAAAGTAAGAGAACAAACATACTGTTTATGTATGGAAACGTGTTATTGATAAAATAATGTTTCATAGTTGGTAGGGTTGGAAGGGACCTGAGCAGATCATGAAGTCTGACCCCCTGCCATCGGCAGGAAAGAATGCTGGGGTCAAATGACCCCGGCTAGGTGTCTATCTAGCCCCCTTTCGAAGACCCCCAGGGTAGAAGCGAGCAACACTTCCCTTGGAAGTTGGTTCCAGATCCTAGCCGCTCTGACTGTGAAGTACTGCCTCCTGATACCTAGCCTCAAAATGTATTTTGTAATTAAACACAATGACTCTTAGAAAGAGTAGATGTTGAAGAATGAGAAGCATAAGACAACAAGCTTCTTTCTCAATCACTAAATCCAGTTCCCTTCACTCACAGGCAACCATGTCATACAGTTCTACGAAAGTGGTCTACAGAAACTATCCACTGTGCACTACCCCACATTTTTCACAAAACAGCCTGTCATAACACACAGAAGGCTTCAGCTCTTTAGAGTAAAACAGAAGACACACACCCTATAATGTGCTACAGGAAGAGAATAAAAAGAGAATGCTCTATCAGTGCCTTGGGCCCATTCATTTGTAGGGAATTTGTCAGGCAAATTATGCCTAGAGGATACTAGAGGGCAGTCCATGCCCTACAATACATAGGAAAGCCATCCCTCACAAGGCTTTTCCAACCTGATTTGTGGTGGGAAATCCTTTTTAACCCCAAACCTGTTGATCCATTTAACTTGAGAGAATTGGTAAGATGCATTAGCTTGGCATCTTATAAGTTTTTAATATTACTAGGGACACATCCCAAAGCATTTCCTACCTTTGGCCATAGCCAACATCCAATTGAAAAGAAGAAATATTGTTCTTTTTTTCTTGCATTCCCCCCTCCCCGCCAAACAAAATATGGACCTGGCAAAATACAGAAAAGGTGTTTTCTGAATTATGGCCATATACAGCAGAGGCAGAGGCTAACTGTCAGCTCATTCACCCTCCCTTTCCTACTCAAGGAAAAGCTACAGTTCTAACCCTTGCAAAACTGAATTGTAAGCAGTTCTTACAATTGTAAACAGAAACCACTGAAGTCTAGACTCCATGGGCAGACCCTGAATTTCGATAAGCTAAAAAGAGAATACCACAGGTGGTGCTCTCTTCTGTCCTACCAGTGAGCGGACGTGGAAGACGACATGAGACCTGCATCAGAAAGGTCAACTTGTGGCTTCGGGAATGGTGTCTCAAGGCGGGCTTCGGCTTCCTAGACAACAACCCACACATCAAGACGAGAGACATGCTCGAGTGGGATGGGCTTCACCTTTCCCCCAAAGGTAAGTGTGTGTTCTCTTCTAGGTTGGCTGATGTCCTCTGGCGGGCTTTAAACTAGGCTCATCGGGGGAAGGGTAAAACGAGGGCAGAGGAAGCTTTGGAGCACTTAACCAAGTGTCACCCACAGGAATGGCCCTGCCTAGACCGACGACAAGTGGAACAAATACCCAGGTAAGCAACAGGGGCCTGGGTAATACTGAGATTAGGGGGCCAGTGCATGTGTCTACAGGAGGCCTCAAATGCCTCTACGCTAATGCTTGTAGTATGGGGAATAAGCAGGAGGAATTCACCCTCCTGCTAGCCAACACCAACCCAGACATAGTGGGGCTCACCGAAACATAGTGGGACCCAACACATAACTGGGCGGTGAATATCAAGGGCTACAGGCTGTACAGGAGTGATAGGACAGGGAGGAGAGGTGGGGGTGTGGCGCTCTACATCAAGGAGAAATACACATTCTCACTGGGTGGCACTGGGTCACAGGAGGGGGACACTGAAGTGCTCTGGGTTAGAATACAAGGAAGTCGAGGGGAAAGGGACTTAATGGTGGGGGTCTACTACAGACCACCCAACCAAAGGGAAGAGCTAGACCAGGAATTCCTAAGCCAGCTCATGGAGGTAGTTAGGTCAAAGGACGTGGTCATCCTGGGTGACCTGAACTTTCCAGACATCTGCTGGGAAGAGAAGTCAGCCAGGTCTGACTGCTCACGTAGGTTCCTAGCCGAGATACAGGACCTCCATCTAACCCAAGAGGTGCACAGCCCCACCAGGGGAGA